GTTTAGGCGCAGCCTGCTTCTTCTTATTTTTGTGGTACTTGGAAGCGCCCTACGTTTGGGATCAGCTGAACCGAAATTTGTGGCGAACAGCGGGTCCGAACGCACCTGTGCGTCCACATCATCTTGTACCAAATAGTATTTCGCAGGTATAAGCCTCAGGAGAGACTCGAACGTGTCATTATGCGCTTGCAGAGAGGCCAATAGTGAGGATGTAGAGGTGGCCATTGTTGGGAGAAGAAGAATGAGCGCGTCGCGTGGGGGAATGCGCGCGAGCGAGACAAGGCACGTTGATCGGGCCGGATAGCCGGACTGGCCAAAGCGACACGACTCAACGGGCGCAACCAACCTTGCCCTCGGACCTCCATCACGGTACTCGCAGCATAGCCGAGTGCTCGTGACACCTGTTCTATGTCTCAATATACGTATACACATACTTGAACTCGGTGGAGGCACAGGGTGCAGCCGTCCGTGATGATTGATCATGAGTAGAGTGTTCCATTTCACAGATTGACTACATTATACATATACGTTGGTCGGCCCTCTCTCCTTGTAGCGTTATGGCGCCTGTGACTCTCCTCCCGAAGGTCCTCCATGGCTTTCATGTACATGGACTCCACTCTCTTTCGGAGATACAAGGGTCTCCAGCATTCCTTGTTCCGCGCTCGACAATACCGGACTGTCCGGCTGCTGGTCGCTTGGGGAGCTCTGGATGGGAGACCCATGGGGATCGTCATCCTTGATGTGTTGGAGCGACAGAACGCCTTCAAGCCTTGGGGAACTCTGAGCGCGAGCGTCAATCTTGTCTTCCGTGGACGATGGCGGGGTATCCGTGGGAGGGTTCGGCGTTATGAGGACGCCGAGCTCTTCGAGTTCAGAGTTGCTCAGCAGCACTTGCTCTGAACGCGGTGGGAAGGACACAAGACAAGCAATGTGACGAAGCGCGTCCATGGCGACTTCGGGCAGAGCGACATCGTCGGGCGCGCTGAAGTCAGAACCCGGTTCGGTCCATGTACTCAGTCCGGCCGTCTCCAGTAAGGTGAGTAGCAATGACGAGGCAGGACTTGTAGTCACGGATAGCTCTTTCTCGCTTGAAGACCCAAGATGATTGACGCCAAAGAGCTCGTGCCAGTGCCACATGTTCGGGGTCGTCTTCCTGAGGTAAGGCGAATCTGGGTTCTGCCAACCATTCGCGCCGTGGAACCGAGTGAAAATCAGATGCGATAAGAGCGTCAGCGCGTTTCTTGACGCTAGGTCGCGACCCAAGGACGCGTTCATATCGGGTGCTTTGTCACTGATCCATAAGTCCTCGCTGGATAGAGGCAATAAACGCAGACTCTTGCCCTTGTCGAGGGACGTCAACAAGTCTCGCAGCTGGCTCATCGTATTGGAGTCTGGTTCTGCGATCTTTCGTATCTTATCCCATGCAAGGAGAAGCGACCGGCGGAAACTGGAGACTGCTATAAGCACGGACATGTCGCCCTCTTTGCGAGCTTGCGCGTTCACTTCCTCGAGCCGCTCGACAATCCGAGGGAAAGACGACAAGAGAAGTTCCGTGTTCTCCCATCTCCATTCTTCATCCGTGCCATGAGCCATCATAGTATCAATGGTAGAGTCCATCTGGAACAGTCCCTGTAGTAAACGCACAGAGCCGACCGCAGCCGATACGGAATCAAGAGACATCATGCTCGTGGCAATCTTCTCCATAATATCTTTACTCCACCGCATGGAGATGAAGAACAACCCGAGCTCGTGTGCTATGAGGTTGACGAGCCGAAGCGGGAGGTACTGCAGCAGCGAAGCAGCGCCATCGGAGCCGAGGACGTATCCACCCGTGCGCTGCCAGATGAACATCAGGCGTGTTTGATTCAGAAACGCAACTCGTCTGCGCTCCTCCTTCGCCGGCGAGGGCGTGGCGAGGAACATGATGGAACGGAAGAACCCCAGAATAGACGCGCCTCCGCCAGGCGCGGGGTCATTGATATATTCCCATACGGTACGCGGGAATGTAACACAGTTACACAGAACGTCGGGTTGAGGAGAAGCGACACCCAATAAAGCGGGTTTATGAAGGTGCGCAGTTCTTTGCCCAATGGAATATCAGTCGCTGTGAGGAGAAGTATAGCGAGACCCATATAAAATGTCCATCCACAGAGACAAAGAACAAAGATGACAGGAAATGGGAGTACAATCGCGAGCACGTATGTCATTGGGGTACGATAAGGACAACTGTAGTCGAAGATGGGGATTGAGCTGGCGAGCACGTACAGTGCAGCCGCAGTACCCGAGGATACCGCAACGACCATGGCTGTCGTAAAGTGAATCGGGAACAAGAAGATAGCGAGGCCCACAAGGAAAAGTACGACCGCCAGGTGCATCAGGCCGACGATAACAGATGCAACCCGGTCCAGTCGATAACGCTCAACACCCATGCGAATGTAGATGTGCTTGTAAGCGTATTGGCTTATGGTCGTACTCATGGTACGCCATTGAGTTCCCCTTAGATAGTCTCGCGTCCACTCCTGGATCAAAGTAGCGAGCAAAGCACAGACGAGGGAGATGACAAGGCTTAAAAACCATAGGGCATTGACGATGACGGCAGTCTCGGGAACTTGGAACGGTTCAGACAGAATCTCAGTAGCGGGGATGATCGTGGTTGCATTTGTGGCAGCCACCAGCTGAGCAAGAAGGGCGACGGTTTGTGCACCGGTGTCGGGCGAGAGTGACTTGTAGCTTTCGATAACGAAAGCAGCGACGGTTGCAGCAAACAGGCCGGTCTGGGAAACTGTGTCGGTACAATGATAATGTAGTCATCATCGAATGTGCGCACGAAGGTAAGTATCCCCGTTGTAGACCCGTTCCAACGCTCGACAATGGCCTTGTCCTCATCCTCTACGCCATCCAGATATGCCTCCCAGAGCCCATCACCTGCTTTATCTTCCGGCTTCGACTCGGCAAACGGTCTTCCACGGGCAGAAGACAGCATCTTTAGTGCGCGGCGAGGGACTCGTCAAATGGTGAGGCAGATATCTGCAGCAAAGCGATAGTTGTTCGTTGACGAGAAAGGTGGGCGCTGATCGTGTTCAAGTGCAGGCGCTTACAGTGCCCCAGCGTGGGACACCGGCTGATCGCGCCGATACATCCGAGCTACCAAATGCGGCACTACTCCCTGCTTGCACTGGAGTGAGCGCTCCTTATCCTTTGACGTCTTGACCTTCATCGTCTCTATCCCCGTATTACCATGAAATATCTGACGATGTACATGAAGCCCGAAATCCGCGCCACAGGGAAAGAACGTAGGGTATCGTGAAATTTTCATTGATCGTCGCTGTGATTTTTCCACGTGCCTTCCCTCCATTGTTCACTCGCTTTTGTTCTTGCCGCTGCCCGGTCCACACCAGCCGTGTACATGTCCACCTCAACCTCCCATAGGCAAGCTGCAGGGTGTACTATTCTTGAAACGGCGCCCAAGCGATACGCGCCTGCGGGGCTGCCGGTCGTCTGAGTGTATGGCTGCGAAGGCGTGGGAAGTAATTCCCTCAACCGTTTGTAGCTTGACAGTTGACTTCCAAGCGTCACCGACCGTTCTCCTCGACTGCATCGGCGCGACTCTTCATGAGCATGAACGCGCCTCATATCTCTCGCTTGGACATGTCCATTCCGCATCGATCGATGCAGCAAACAAAGAGATCCCGGAGCTTCCACGCGGAATTCTGTGTGATGGGAGGGACAATAGCGCGCGCAGGCTTGTCGCCAAACAAAAAGAGCGCCTTTGAGCGGGGTCCCTGGCACACTTATATTTTCTGTCAGCTCTAGGTTTCCGAATCTTCCTCCCCCACCCCTCTTACGATCATCATGTCCGACGCAAAGTCAGTCGCCTCTTCCGCCGACTCGGCCAGCGCGACCGACAGTGTCGCCGCTGCGCCCGCCTATGAGGCACCCAACCCATCCATTCGACTTCTCTTCTCGCTTGTCTCTCGACGAGACTTTTTTGCCCTCATTCTCCCCGCCATCGTCCTCTCACTCGTCGCTGGTGGCGTCGCACCCTTCATGACCTATGTCATCGGCCAGGTCTTCAACGCTTTCGCCGTCTTCGCCGTCTCCGACGCTTCCGCAACCGACAAGTCCACTCTTCGCCACCAAGTGGCACTCTCAGCACTTGAGCTGTTGGGCTTGGGCCTTGGTGCGCTTGCTCTCAGCAGCGCCACCTCGAGCTTGTGGATTTGGACTGGCGAGCGCAACACCATGCTCATTCGCAAGCGCACCTACGCCTCGGTTGCCGCACGGGAGATGTCTTGGTACGACACCAAGATTGGGTCTGAGGACTCTGTGCAGTCCGCCGATGGAAATGACGGTCCTGTCGGCGCTGGTGGTCTTATGGCGAAATTCGCGAAGTGCGTGGTCCTCTCGCCATATTATAATGCACAGATCTGATTCTTTGTGTAGGGACACCGAAGATATCCGCATGGCGTCTTCGCTCGCCTGCGGCATGATTGTTCAGCACCTCACGACCGGCGTCGTCTGCGTTATTCTCGGCTTCACCCGCTCCTGGCAGCTTACCCTCGTCATCCTCACTACCGTCCCCGTCATGATGGTGATCCAGTTTGTAACTCAGGTCACAGCTGGTCCCCTCATTGGCGTCGAGCGTCAGCGCATTGCGACTGCTGCGACTCTGGTCGACCGTGCTGTTAACGCGATTGCTACCGTTAAGGCGTTCAATGCCGAGGAATCCGAGTTCGCCACCTTCACCACACTTGCCGAAAAGATGCGCAAGGCCGCCTGGTCGCTCAACAAGACCTGGGCGTGGACCTCCGGTTTCACCCAGTTCACAGTCATGGCGATGTTTGTGCAAGGCTTTTGGTTCGGCGCCAAGCTCGTTCGTGACGGACACGCATCGGCCGGCGACGTCATGGCCGTCTTCTGGGCCTGCATGATCGCGACGACCAACCTCCAGATGTGCATCCCGCACTTTGTCACCCTCACCAAGGGTGAGGTGGCGATGAGCTCCCTGGTCGCTCTCATCGAGGCTCCTTCGCCTGCACCGCTTACCACGCACATGCGCCGCCCCAGCCTCCTTACGACCCTCCCCGCGGCGCGCAAGTTGGGCAAGAACATGCGCAAGCTCGCACCGACCAAGTGCCGCGGCTCCCTCGTCATCAGCAACGTTTCTTTCGCATATCCCTCGCGTCCACATGCGCCTGTTCTCACCAACGTCACGCTCTTCCTCGCCAGCAACGATCTGACCTTCATCGTCGGCGGGTCGGGCTCGGGCAAGAGTACTATTGCGCAGCTTCTGCTCCGCATGTACACGCCCATGTCCGGCACCATCACCCTCGACGATCAGGATGTGGAATATCTCGACGACGAGTGGACGCGTTCTCACGTCGGTGCTGTCAGCCAGAGCGCCATTCTCTTCGACGGCACTGTCCATGAGAACGTTGCGATGGGTCTCGCGGCTCCCGGAAGCAAGCGCCGGCCGGAGGATGCGACGCGCGAGGAGGTCGAGGCGGCTTGCAAGGTTGCGCTCATGACACGCTTTATTGAGGACCTTCCTCAAGGCTACGACACCCCTCTCGGTAACGGTGGCGCGAATCTGTCTGGAGGACAGAGGCAGCGTCTAGCCATTGCTCGCGCAATGTTGCGCGACCCCACGATCCTTATTCTCGGTACGTTACATCTTCCCGGGTCTCTAGCATAGCGCTGATCCCCTTTCGCAGACGAGGCAACGTCCGCGCTGGACGCGACCTCTCGTATTCTTGTCTTCGAAGCCATCAAGCGCTGGCGCGCGAACAAGACGACCATCGTCATCACGCACGATCTCTCGCAGATCAACCCGACCGACTTCGTGTACGTTATGCGCGACGGCGACGTTGCCGAGCAGGGCCACCGCATCGACCTGGAGCAAATCAAGGACGGCAAGAAGAGCCTTTTCCGCACGATGGCGGAGACGCAGGGCGTGGAGATGACGGATACTACAGTCGACCCGTGGTCGCATGAGGCCGAGGCGAGGCATAACGCTTCGTTCGAGCGCCACTACGCTGCGGAGGAGCGCCGCCAAGAGGCGCGCCCCATGTCTTCTATGTCCGGCAACTGGATGTTCGAGGCTATTCACTCGATCACCCGCCTCAACGCGCCACCCCCTGCCTACACTGCCGACCGTGCCAGCCGCTTCATCCCGGCTGAGTCCTTCACCGCGTCTGCTGACTTCGAGCCGTACTTCCCTCCCCAGCGCCAGCGCCGCCCTAGCACACTCGCCATCGACCTTCCCACCCCTGTCACGGCCCGCACGTCCAACAACACGCACCGTCTCTCGCTCCAATTCTCGCCGACTTCGCCTGTGTACTCGAACCGCTCCTATTCCACATCGTCGACCTTGTTTGACGATGCTGCGGATGAGAAAGGCTTCCTCGAGTCCGTCGGCCTTTCCGCCAACGCGGACCGCTGGTCAGTCATCAAGCCCACGAAGAAGCGCCGCACGCGCCGCGATGTCATGGCAATGATGCCTCTCCAGGAGGTCACCGTCGAGAAAGAAGCCGGTGCAAACAACGACACGCCCGCCGCAGAGCTCGGCCTGTTTGCACTTTTGAAGGCCGTCTACCCGACGGTCCCCAAGAAGTGGCTCGTCTTCCTCGGCCTCTGCGCATGCGCTGTCAGCGGTGCCATCACCCCTATTTTCAGCTTCATGCTCTCCAAGCTGTTCTACGAGGTCTCTGTCGGCGCTCGGAACGTCAGTGCCATCAACGCCTTCGGCGGCGCCGTCCTCGCTATTGCTGCGGCCGACGGTGTCTTCATGGGTACCAAGTACTTCGTGCTCGAGACGGCCGCCATGTTCTGGGTCACCAAGATGCGCAACACCGCCTTCCGCCGCGTGCTCGCGCAGGACAAAGCCTGGTTCGACAAGTCGGAGAACAGCGGCGCGCGTCTTGTGCAGGTCATCATCAAGGACGGCGACGATGCGCGTGGCTTGATCGCTATCGTTCTCGGCCAAGCGGTTGTCGTCATCACGATGTTCTCCGTCGGCTTGATCTGGGCGCTCGTTTCGGGCTGGCAGCTTACCCTTGTGGGCTTCGCCATTGCACCGGTCTTCGCGGCCACCATGGTCGTCCAGACCAACTTGGTCACTAAGTTCGAGACGCGCAATAAGCGCGCGCGCGAGGAGGTCGCCAAGGGTTACTACGACGTGCGTTCTGTCCTCAAACACATGCGCTTGCTTTGCTCACATTTTTGCAGACGATCCTGAACATCCGCGGTATCCGCTCGATGGGCTTCGAATCAGTGTTCAAGGCCCGTTTCGATCGCTCGGCCGATTCTGCGCTCAAGACTGGTGTCAAGGGTGCTTTCGTTGAGGGCTGCACATACGGCGTTGCGAGCTCGCTCATCTACATGTCCGAGGGACTGCTCTTCTACGTTGGCGCACTTCTTGTGGCGAACGGCACGTACTCGTACGCGCAGTTCGTGCAGGTGCTTAACTTGGTCGTGTTCACGGTCTCCATTGGCTCGCAACTCATGGCATTCAGTACGCGCGTCTCAAAGAATATGATCTGGGCTCTTACTGATACCTTCTGCAGCGCAACGCATCGCCAAGGCCACTCAGGCTACCCGTGACTGGAAGCGTGTTCTGGATCTTAACGAGGCTACGAACGAGTCCTACGGCTCGTCTTATGCTCCTGTCCAAGGCACGATCGACTTCAAGAACGTCGCTTTCGCCTACCCGGAACGCAAGGACGTCCCCGTACTCCGCGGCGTGAACCTTCAGATCCGCGATGGCGAAAGCGTCGCGGTCGTCGGTTCCTCCGGCTCGGGCAAGTCCACTGTCGCGGCGCTATTGCAGCGCCTGTACGAGCCTTCGATGGGTAGCGTCACTGTTGGCGGCACTCCCATCTCGCACCTCGATGTCCACCACTTGCGCGAGCACGTCGCTGTCGTATCACAAAACCCCAACCTCTTCGACGCAACGGTCGCCGACAACATCTCCTATGGCGCACCGGGTCTGCCGCGCGCAGCCGTCATCGAGGCCGCCAAAGCCGCGAACGTCCACGAATTCATCATGGGGCTGCCTCAGCAGTACGACACCATGGTTGGCGAGAACGCCGCGCTCATCTCCGGTGGCCAGGCGCAACGTCTCCAGATTGCCCGCGCATTGGCACGACCTGCACGCATCCTCATCCTCGACGAATGCACGAGCGCACTCGACGGCGCTAACCAGGCTGCTGTCCTTGATACCATCCTGGACGCGCGCGTTGGCCGCACGACGCTCATGGTCACGCACAAGCTTGCTGCTATGCGCATGTGCGACCGCATCGTCGTCCTCGACAACGGCGTTGTCGCTGAGAGCGGGACGTACGAGGAGCTCGTCGAGCGCCGCGGTGTCTTCTCGCAACTCGCGTTGGGCGGCGAGTGGTCCTTGTAATGGCTTTCTGGCTTCCTTCCTTTAGACTCTCCTATTTCTCCTATCTGACTGCACGACTGGAACGATTTCTCGGATCTATCGCTGTTCACGACGCGTATGCCTCTCATACTTTACCACTTCTCCGCGCGCCCAGTGCCACACGACTACTACCTACGTTCACATCTGTATCATACCAACACAATGCTCGGTTTGCTCTACTCCCCTGTATAAGTAGCGGATACCTCTTACGTCTTCATCATGTATTCCTTTCTACTCGTTGCTTGCAATCCAGTGGATTGAACAACCTCATTGCTGCGTGAACAGGCGTGAACGCGTGAATTGTGCAAAAGAACTGCGCGTGGCGCGAACTCGGCCCGCCTGACGCCCCTCGACTTCGTCCTGGACGCCGACGACTGCCAAATGTCTTGCACCATTCCAACTGCGGACTATGCAGAGCCTGCGCTCCTTCCATCCTCCACCTGCGCGCGTTCTACGATAACTAGTCGAAGTTCTAGCGCTCGACGCTGAATACGCTGCGGGTCAATGTCATCCAGTATGATGTCAGCGTTGGCCTGCGCGCTGTTGCCCGCAGCGCACCCAAAGCACGATCCGCTCCACAGCCTTCCACGGCCTGGTCCAGGCTACAAAAGCAATCCTGGACTGGACGGTCAACGCTACAGTTCTCCTCTGTCACTCCCCATCATGTCTGCTACGAATCCGTCTACGAAATCGCCATTTACGATGAATGAGAAGACTCCCACGCCACTACCACTACCGGTGCAGCAGGCGCCTGAGCCGGAGGATCCCTCTCCTCGCCGCAAGTCTGTCTCATATGTGTTATGGAGGGTCCTGGTGGCGACAGTGCTGCTGTGGGTTGGCTGGGACGCTCTATCTGGGTTGGGATATGGGATGTTCCGAGCCTTCCGGTACTTCCATCCCGCTCGCACTCAAGGCCATAGTCCGGACATGAAGGTATGCACAGTGGCTCTATATGGGTAATATTTCCTAACCTGACTTACCCTGATAGATTCTATCCCATGGCGATATGAGCTGTTTAGAATGGACTACGTCCACGGATGGGCCTCACATCGCACACGCAACCTACGCCATGCCGCTTGACGCGGGCGCGTATTTGTTCGACGCCCACCAGTACTCGTGCGCAAGCGGAGAGATCCGATTCGTCTCCAAGGCTGAGCCGCGCGAGGATATGCTGGTGGATGTTACCGCTCAATATACCGAGGAGTCAGCGAAATGGCTGAGTATCACCAATGTCTGCCATGTCAGTCATGAGTTGGGCCAGGGTATGGTGTTAATGGTCCGTCGCAGTTGATTCATTGCGTATTCTCGCATGCGTACTGAAATTTGATATAGCCGAAGACGAAGTTCCAGCATAGCTGCGCGTGCAGTAGCAACCCGATACAGTACAACATCACCGTTCATGTACCCGCCGGTGCCAACATTCCCTTGCTGAAGACCAACATGGCTTCCTTCGCACATAACTTGGAAGGGCTGTCCAGCGATGTGACACTCGGTGCAGTTCGCCTTGTCGGTTCATCGGCTGTAATCAAGGTTGGTGCCGCACGACCTACGCAGTCAACACACTGGTGGCTCACCTTATACACCGCAGGAGATCAAGGCTGACTCTGTATCGTTCAACGTGGACAACACGGCTATCACGGGCTTCTACAACGTCACCTCGTCTCTTGAGCTCAAGACAACGAACGCGCCCATCGACGTTGAAGTCGATGCGTATGGTCACCATCCCGTCTGGATCCGCCTCATCACCACGAACAACAAGATTGATGCCGACGTCTCTCTGTATGAAGTCTCACGTCACGGCCGGTTCGATGTCTTCGCCAAGACTACAAACGGAGAAGTGAACGTGGACATTCTGGAGAGCCCTGTTGGCGGCATCGTCAAGGCCGACGCTATAACAACCAACGCGCCTGCGAGGCTCGCACTCGGCCCTGCGTTCGAGGGCGAGATTGCTGCTCATACGTCGAATGCGCAGGCATTGGTGGACCGTACGCCCTCGGAGGATCCTACCGGTGAGGGTCGTGAGCGCACAATCGAGCTTGGCCATGTTTGGGAGACGGGCTTCCGCGGGTGGACGTCGTGGAGTGCAGGTCGGAAGTCGTTGAGGAGTCGTGCGCGGGTCTCATCGACAAACAAGCCCGTGGTGCTTGCATTTTAGATTCCAAATTAGTGTGACGAGCCCTCAAGATGTATCATATATGTAGAACAGTCTCTGTATAGTAGTGTTTGCCATATTCATATGCTGTCAACAATATTGCGATGCCGTCTGGGTGTTGGCGTCTATTGAGACTCAAGGCGTGGCGCCTACGACGCGATATGATACGACTCACCACAGGAGTCTTCGACAGTATAACTATACTGTGAAGTTCTTACTGTATGATAAGTACAGCCTATGTAAGTATCGCCGTGCGAACTTTCGGATACTGCCGAACGCCTCGCGCGTTGATTGGACGGGGAAGGTCCATCCACGACGCTCATCATCACCGTCTCGACGCACGAATGAACCTAATGGTCGGCTTTAGTCATATTTCTCGAGCTTTTGAATGGCGCTAGACAGGACGCGATTGTATCTCCATCGGGCTGACATCAGCATCTTGCAGACACGGCGTCAGATCGTCTCCTGCTATATCAGTGATGTCCGACACAGAGCGCTACGCTACGCGAAGACTGGCGCCCGTCCCCGGAGATGTCTCACGTCTGCATCGCCGCTCACACTGGTATTCTCGTCGCTTGACTGAGAAATGGCTTTCATACAACCTTCTACAATCCTCAAACGGGTCCCACAAGAGGAAACCGGCCGACTTCTTCATGTGACTGTGCATGAGTGATACAAGCATTCACCGGCACAAGCGCACAGTGCGGATCCCGCGCATCAGCGTCGCTACGAATCCCGCTCGCAGTCTGATCTTTTCGCCTCTCATCCAGCCACCGTGATACCAGCGGGTGTAACACGTTTCCAGCTGACATTCAATGCAGCTTGCACGCTCATGATAGGACGAGGCGCATAGCCCATCCCGACCTGTCCGATACAGCACTAGCCGGCGCCCTTCTCGGACAGCCAGTCGTTTCAATGGTGAAAGGCCCGTACTAAAGGGGACCAATTGGCGCTCCATAGCTCATCTACTCTTTCTCTTCACGACCTTATTTCATGATATTCTCTGTTCTCATCATCGCGGCGCTGGCAGCCCGGGCGATAGCGACCCCAGTCATTTCCCGAGCCTTCGCTTCCGACACTCTTTACAGTGAGCTTGACGAGTCCTTGCATTTGTACTAGGCAGCTAACGTCGTCATCTAGTCATCACAAACGATCCTCAAGGAAACTATGTTGTTGCAGCGAATATCGACAACAACAGTGGGAATCTGGTGCGTTCACTCTCATTGAGAAAGCTCACTGCCGCTGAAACGACGACTCTAAGACCTATGCGGGGATAACCTCGGCTGGAGGGTCAGGTGTCCACGGACAGGTCGACCCGACGGCGCCAGTTGCTCCTCTGCAGGGCGACGCTACGTTCTCGCAGGGAATCGTGCAGGTTCACCAGCGCAACAACCTACTTGCCACTGTCAACGTACGCTCACGGTTACCCATTCTCGGCGCGAAGCATGACTCATCCCTCGATGCAGACCGCCGATTCTACAGTCGTTCTCTTTTCGATTGACCCCCTTCAACCAGGTCGTCTCACGATGATCGGGCAACCTGTGCCGTCCGGGGGTACATCACCAAACTCGTTGGTCTTCAACGAAGCTGGGGATCGCCTTTGGGTGCTGAACACGGGCGCCGTCAACGGAGTAGCGTACGTGACTCCTTGAGTTTGGGCTTTTGGCATATGCTGACGATTCACTCAGGTGCTTCGCAGTGACTGAGAACGGACTGGAAGCCCAAGCCGACACGATTCGATCGCTTGGACTCAATCAGACTACCCCGTCGACCGGTCCCTTCAACACGGCATCACAGGTCCTCTACACTCAAGGCGAACAAGGCATCCTCGTCGCCGTCAAGGGACAGTTTAACGGCAGCCTCGGATTCCTCGCTGTCTGGGACATCGACGAAGAGGGAAACGTGGCTGAGAACTTCACTCGGATAGCGACCCCGCCTACCTCAGGATTCCCGTTCTCGCTGGAAGCCATCAATGGCGCGAACGCGTATCTAGCGGCAGACTTTGGGCTTGGAATAGACGTTTACGACTTTAGTGAGGGCGTCGATAACGTCTCCTCGAGTAACCGGACCACCGCAGTTGCCATTCCGGGCCAGAATGCCGCCTGCTGGACCACGTACAGCGAACTGCTAGACAGGTATTATGTCATGGATGTCAACAGGAACGTCATCACATCCGTCGAGATTGACTCTAATCTGACGGTCACCGTCGGTTCTGTGCGTTCTTCCACGAAGTCGTGATGCTCAGACGCTAATCATGATCGTCTCGTTTAGAACTTCACCGCCGACTCTGGACCTATCGACTCTCAAGCATTATCCATTGGTGAACACAGGTGCGTTCCTCTAACCCTTACGATGTACGTGTTACTAACTCTCGCGCGCTAGCTACCTCTACTCGCTCCTGGCTTCAAGCCTCCAAATTGGCGTCTGGAGACTAGACGGGGTCGAAGAACCTGTAAGACAATCATCTCTGGACCTTACCATTATCCTTCAGGATGGCGCCTCTCTCAGTACGTCGAGCATTTACTTATGTCCGAAGATGCATGGTTACTGATCTTGTACACGCAGCGGCGAACTACACCCAAGGAATGGCATATTACAAGAGTGGATACTACGAGTGACACCACGGACCTCTGGTTTCATGATTCGGAAACAAGTACTATACAATTCTAATGGATGGATGGACAGCATAAATATACTCAGGATGATATATCCCATATTTTTACTACTATGGGCGAACATCTACATCAGAGCATTGCAAGTGTGGACGGCGATGAGCCTTCCAGACTCAGCCACATGTCACGAGAGACACAGATGGCCTTGATGTAGAGGTATGCAGAGTAAGAAGAGAGGCAACAAGAAGGGAGTGCGGCCGTGGATGGTGATGGTGGTCAGAAGGCAACATGGGACCGCGGCAGCAGCGCGGTTCCTGTCTCTCCGCTTCCCAGCGTGTCCCAGCGATACTGATTTGGTTTGTGCTGTATACCGTATGCAATCTTGTGAGCCGAAGAGTCTCTCCATGCATCCGCTCAACGCATCTTCTAGTCTGCTGGCTTTTTCTGGTGTAGGCTTACGCCCGAACTGCTCTGCATACCGTCAATATCGTGGGAACGATGATCGTGAATAGCAAGCGTGTCTTGATGAGGACCTTGCGGGTGCACGAACCTAACGTAGAGCTCCCCGCCATCACCCCGCCACATCGACGGCACGACGTCTCCTGGACAAATCTGAGCGTGCTTGCTTCTTGGTTGTCCACCTCTCTTTTGGTGTCACGTTTTCGGACTAGACTTCTGCGTCATAGCTGCGTGCCGCTGCGTTGTTCGACTTTGGTCAGACAAGCGCTGCGTGATCGTGCGTTCTTATTTGGCGCCATTTATATCAGAGGTTCTGACACATGGCATTCAGTGAACTGGGTGCAATATGTCTAGAATACACAAGCGCAAGTCGAGCAAGGAGGAGGATGACACCGTCGTCCCTGTCATCCGCGCCGAGGCCAGCACATCAAACGGCGTTCCCAGCAGGCCAAACAGCGCCGAGCACGGTCACGCGCGCTCGCGTACACTATCCACGCCCGCAGGATTGACTCTCTCCGTGACGCCGCCCTCCACGACGAGCACAGGCTTTCCCGCGCCCCCGAGTCCACTCTCGCCTGGAGGCTCGCAGCGGAGCTCGACTCTGCCGTTTTCTCGGCCAAATGGAGTTTCAACGCATCACGCCCCCGCTTCGCCGATGCGCATGTCGTTCTCGATGCCCTCGCACATGGCCAGCCAGTCACACGGCAGGACGCGCTCCATATCCGGCTATGCGTATTCGCCACCTTCGCCATCCCCTCTTTCAGCGTCTTTCCCTCCAATAGCCAATCCTTCGGCTTCTGGCTCAATGCCAGAAATGAATCGTCATCAACGCACGGGTAGCCGCTCCAACTTCACAATACCCCCCGCCGCACCTCAGTCCTTCAATCAGGATCGTGCCACACCTCCGCCCCTCCCGCCACCCACTACTTCGGCCAACGCCCGACGCCATGCGCGCCTACACTCTCGCAACCTTTCCGTGTTCTTCCCTCGACCTGGTGCTCAGTCTCAGCCAACTATCGACGAAGATGGCGGGCAGGAGATCGAATACAAGGAGACACCCGAGATAGTCATGCCCACCGCTTCTCCGCGGGGAAAGCTAGGCGAGGGCTTCACTTTCGGCGGTCGACCCCCATCCGACTCAATCACGTCCAATGGCGATGATTCGGGCTCTGAACCGCCTTCTGCGGGGCCCCGCAAGGCGCGACGCGGGCACCATCACAAACACTCAATGTCGCACAACTTCTTCTCGTTCCTTGAGCCCGGCGCGAACGGCCGACCACAAGCAACTCTCGGTCCTTCACAGTCGGAAAGCGGTCACCTATCTGCCGCACCGTCAGCTCCCATCACACCCGTATCTGCGGTGACACCAGCGAGTACAGTCACCGGCCGCACCAGTCCCTTCGCCTTCCATAAGGACGTCGGCCGCATCCCACTGGACGCCTTACTCGCGTTCTCCGTGCAGTTCATACTGGGCGCATGGCTATGGGTCTCCGGGCAAGCAGTGGGCTCGTTGGCATGTACCGGCCTGGGGTATTGGGTTGTGTTCGACGCCATAGGCGTGGGAGTAGGCAAGATCTTGCCCGCCTATTTGCAGCGCCCCGGGCTGCAATCGCCGCTCGGGCGTCCATACGGGAACGCGCGAGTCGAGACGGTTGCGCTCTTCGCGCAGGGGGTGTACTTGATGTTCTCCGCCGTATACGTCTTCAAGGAGACCGTTGAACATCTGCTGCTTTCGGCTGGAGAGGGCCACCACCATCATCCGGGAGACGAGGACATCGAGATCGACGGGTATGTCTGGCATATTCACTTGCTTGCACAAACTTCTGACGTAGCCCTGCAGCATCGACTTTCCTATCATGTTGCTCTTCTTCACCTTCCTTTCATTACTCGTCAACGCTCTATCATTCGACAACCACTATCAACTCGTTAACAGTACGTCTTCAATCTATCATCCCTGATGCATGTAACTGATGTTGATTGGCAGTCACCGGAAACCGTTTACCGCCCATATCAAAGCTACTGGACCCCTCACGATTCAAGTACTCATCATATCGTCCTGAACCTACGAATGCGCTCGGCCGTTTGGCTGAGAACCCCTACTCGCTCATCGCCGTCGCGCTGGCCGCGTTCATCCCCCTGGTCTCCATCCTCATTCCAGCGTGCGTTCTTTTTTACTCTCTATATGCACGGTGCTGATATCATTCGCAGAACCGAGCACCGCGCCATTGACCTACTCCTCGCTGCAGCCGAGGCAGTAGCCATGTTCACCCTCGCCTATCCAGCCTGTACATCAACCGGCACCGTCCTCCTCCAAACCGCACCCCGCCGCGGCCTCACACACGGCCGCACCGAAGGCTTCCTGCGCGCTATGCGCGAGATCGAACGACACCCACAAGTCCAACACCTCCCTCCCCCACACATCTGGCAGCTCGTACCGGTCGAAGCCACTCCCAGTCCAGGAGCGAGTGGTGTGCAACCGCTCGTTGTGGCGTTGGAGTTGAGGGTGGATAGGAAGTTGGAGGACGCGGAGGTGTTGAGGTTGACGAGGTGGGCGCATGGGAGGTGTTCGCAGGCGCTGGGCCTGGGCACGAGGGAGGCGGCTGAGTATGTTACTGTGGGGATTGTTAGGGGATGAGGTGTATTTGATGAGCTTTGTCGCTCGTTTTATGGATATGGAATGCATTGGACATCGCTGCGAGGGATCGCTGGGGTGGGCCGCAAGACCTTCAAGGACTGCATTGACTACGCAACTGCCCCACACCAAGTAACGGCGCAGCGTCCTAGTTCTGTGTCGCGATGTTCGAAAGTTGTGAGCCATTGTCCGGTTGCAAACCTACTGGCACAGCACGGTCCATGTGCGCTTCTGGGCGCCGAATGGAGGTGAGAGATTGACGCCTATGGGCGCGCGGTGACTCGGCGAGCATGGGAGAACTCCGGGAAGCGCCGTGCGCCCTTTGGCGCTTGCGGCAGTGGTTCCCTTCGTGCCATCATCTTGCTGTACCGGTCCCCGACCCTCCACCGAAGCTTCTTGACCCGACTCAGTCTCTTACCTCCATCCGGATACTCAAACACTATACACCTGCCATGCCTGTGCCAAGCCGTCTGCTGTGGCGCACCGTGTAGTCAATAGGCAATAAACATACGAACGTCTGGACGGTGAGCGTGCTATGTTTCGGGCATAGGTCGGGTGGCTCAGATAGGCATCGCCGCTCAAAGTTTGACAATACTGTCTCTATCTCCGTACGGCAAGAAATAACATCGTGCGACCCTGGATAGCGCTTGGTCTATGCTTTGGATTGCCGCCTCAGAACGGTGGATGCACCGAGACTGACTGGGGATAGCTGACTGGCGATGTGTTCTGTCTTTTGTTCGCGTCAATATACTGTTCACATTGGGACCTAAATGTGGAGAAAGAGTTACACCCTCTGCATGGCTGAAGACGGGAATCACAATGCGTTGTCGGAATTTTATCTGGGGATGCCTCGGTGTTCACTGCACGGCCTGTTGCAATGCAGCCCTATGCGATCAGCCCGGGCGATGGCTCAGCCCATGCCACCTTATATGCTCGATGTCAACCTCACTCTACTTTCGTATCGTCAGTCACGACTTTCTTCTTGCCTTCCTCTTTCGATCTCAGCCCCGCTCACACCAGTCCTGTCGCACGACTTTTATCGCCTGTCAATATGTCCGGTTGGAAAGCCCTCTACAAACATCTGAACCGTCGGATGAAGAAGCATCGCGCGGAGAAGTACGGTCTGATCTATGAGGACGAGGACGAGATCAACCTCAGTCTGCTTCACAAGGAGGAGCTTCCGGACGGCACGCGTTTGGCCCCCGCGACGGAGGAGGAGATTGAGTTCTCGAGGAGGGATGGTCTTGGTGGTGGGATAGACTGGAAGAACTTCCGAAAGTACTTCACCCTTAAACACTGGACGCGTAATAAGATTGGTAAGAGGTCATACACGTCGGGCATTAGCTTCACATATTGATTGCTCTTCAGTTGGCCTCTTCATTACGACAAGCATTATCACTCTTGTCGTACTCCTTCTCGTCTTCCAGGACTCAATCGTCGAATGGCTTGTGCCCTCTGGAGAAAAATGGAAGAGGTGAGGGTCGGACTCTGAACTTTTCCGCAGCGGTGCGAGTGGCTTACGTTGCTCATAGTCTTCCAGGAGGGTGGACAATCCCTATCGCGATCCTGATCGTGCAATCGTTCCCTCCAGTAATGGTCTCCCTCTAACTCTCTATGGCTTCCACTCACGCATACGATAGCTCATCGGGCACGACGTTGTGCAAATCTTTGTAGGAGTTGTGTGGGGACTATGTACGTTTGATCATTGGCATTTGACTTACATGCTAATACCTATCTCTCTGCCAGGGCCAGGTTTTGGTATTGTGGCGGCTGGTACAGTCCTAGGAGAGATCGCAGAGTTTTAGTGCGCAGAACGGTTACCACTTTGAAGATATGAACTGACAGTCATATAGCGTCTTCCGGTTGTTCTGCGGCGCGCGCATGGGCAAGATGGAGAAGAAGAGTCTGGGGTGGGGATTACTCGCCGATGTGGCCCGCGACGGCGGATTCGTCATGGTTCTTATCGCTCGCCTGAGCGTGCTTCCTCCGTCCTGTGAGTATCCTCTCTGGGTTCCGATACTTGAGAACGTCTGGACCTGACCTTGACTCTCAGACACTACCATCGTGTTTGCATTGGCTGGCACCAACTTCTTCAAGTTCCTCGCGGCGCTTATTCTCTCACTCGTTCTGCCATTGTCAAACCTGTACCTCGGCGTGCTGGCAAGAGAGAACTCGGGTACGCCGGGGCTTGTTGCCTTTACGAGAGACAAGCTCAGACTATTGGCAGATGGCGTATCTACCAGCGGCGCCGCGAGCGGACTCACTATCGCCGGAAGCGTCACCATCAGTGTAGTAGCTATGCTATACATCGACCACAAGGCTAACAAGCTGAAGCCCGCGTTTATCACGCAACGCAGGAAAGATAGGTATGTCCAGACATCCCAAGCTATTCCAGGTCTTCGCACTATCCTAACCTGACATATTAGGTTCGATCCGTCTGCGGAGGGTCGGCTTGGATCTCCGGCTGCATCTAGCACGCCATACGATCCTCCGTCGTAAACTTAGACGCCTATCACTATCTTCTGTATTACCCGGGCTACACTCGAGAGTACTAGTTTTACGCCCGTCATCCCGTCTATGACTCAACACATCCCCACCCCATGCACACGGTGATACGAATATTATACTCGCTTTCTAAACCTGCGTATAGATCGAGCGCGATGGGTTCTCAAGGGACTGTCTGGCACGATCAAGAAGTCTTCCTTCGTCTTGAGTCAGGGATAGTAGAGTAGTAGCGCCCCCTTCTACCGATTCATCATGCACTGGAGCGGCGAGGCGGCGAGCCTGGGAAAACTGTGCCGCGCCACGTTCTCAACTTCCTTCGGTTGGCTTTCGGTGTTCCCTTCACGCGTTCATGTACCCGACGCGTTGGCGATCTCTCTCACCTAGATAACCCTGGATACTTGCTTGACTGTGATGTGTTTGAAAAACTCTATCGTTCAACACGTAGCGGACGAACTCAAACTCGCAGTACCAGACCGGCTGTCAATTCTCCTGCACTGCCTATGGGCGCTTTGGCAACCTCTATAGTTCGCGCGCTATGATAAGCACTGCTTCACGACACTAGCATACGAGCGATTCTCGCATGTGACCTGTGTAGTAACCTCGGTATTCCGGGTCGTGGCAGAGCTTGTTGCAAAGAAAGCAATGGCCCCTCGTGAATGGCCGCGCGGGTCAAATGGAACAGTACTGCTCAAGGAGAAGGCTCGGGTTTCCGAGCTGTGCCAGGATATGCTGTAGGAGGACCACAGGTTCTCATGTTACCGTCTATTCTTAGAGGAAGAACATTACCGGCGGCTTCACCAATCTAGCCCAGAGAATAGCCATGCACTCTATCATGGCCCTATTCATGTCCCATATATACCATCTCTCACCCATGTCTTGGCCGTTAGGAATTACCCGCCTTCCTTCTTTCAACTTCCCCACTCTCTCGTCTCGACAACTTCCAATCAGCACAACAACATGGTCGTTCTCCCGGAGATCTACAGATACCTGAACCGTCGTTACAAGAGATACCGCGCACAGAAGGCTGGCACTCTATACGAGGAAGAGGAAGACGTGAATCTTCGTCGACTTCAGGAGACCAAGCTCGCCGATGGAACCGACATGGCTCACGCGACGCTCGAAGAGATCGCCTTCTCGAAGAGGCATGGCCTCGGCGGTGGGATCGACTGGAAGAACTGGCGCAAGTACTTCACTCTCAGTCACTGGACGCTCCGCAAGATCAGTGAGTAGACTACTCGTCGCTGAAGTGTCATGCTCACTCTTCGCCAGTCAGCCTCTCTGTGACGACAATCATAATCACTCTCCTGATACTCGTCTTGGTTTTTCAGGACTCCGTTGTGAGATGGGTCGAACCTATCGGCGAGAAGTGGAAGAGGTGCGGTCATACGAAGTTCCCTGGTGTGAACTCGGAGTAGTTGACTTTATCGCCACCATGCAGCCTCCCGGGAGGGTGGTTGATACCTATCGCCATTCTCGTCGTACAGTCATTCCCGCCGGTAACGCATGACGGTTTAGAGGCTGGTTTCGCCGCTGACGAGCATCGCAGATTCTTGGGCAAGAGATAGTTCACATAGTAGTCGGGATCCTGTACGGCATAGGTTGGTCTTCCCTATAGCTATCCTCTACTCGACTCTGATCAGCACTCTAGGGCCGGGATTTGGCATCGTCGCGGCTGGCACTATTCTGGGCGAGGTTGCCGAGTTCTTGTAAGCGCTCTACTCTAGTCCAACCTTCTATCACTCTTACAAGTATTCGTGATAGCGTTTTCCGTCTGTTCTGCGGGAATCGTACCAACAAGCTGGAGAAGAGGAGCCTCCCGTGGGGCCTATTGGCTCACATCACTCGCGACGGTGGCTTCATCATGGTTCTCATGTGTCGTTTAAGTGTCCTGCCGTCGTCTTGTAGGTTGTCACACCTCAGGTTGAGCGGAGGCTCTCGCTGAAACCTGCTCTTCAAAGATACCACCATCGTATTTGCATTGACCGGCGTCAACTTCTTCAAGTTCTTAGCCGCCCTCGTTCTATCTCTTGTACTGCCGTTGGCCAACGTGTATCTTGGAGTGCTGGCAAGAGAAGCCGCGGGTGAATGCGTCTTTCTATCTGATACGCCTCGAGCTAATGTCTGTGTTAGAGGGCCAAGCTCCCAGTGGATCAAATGTGGCAAGCGGATTAACCATTGCAGGCAGTATCACCATTAGCGTAGCCGCGATGTTGTACATCAGCCACAAGGCCAATAAGGAGAAGCCCAAATTCATCCAACAACGCAGGATCGAGAGGTACCTATGATCTGACTAGAGCTCAAGGTCACCACATCACACTCACACGACGTATAGATTCGCCGCAGAAAGCCAGCTCGCTTTGCTCAGTGTTTCATAGTCAGGTTCTGCTTGACCTGGAGGTGACAGATGGGCACTTGCACTGCGTCCCGCCTAGACCTGATCTCCCAATACCTCAACATCCGGCTCTTAGGCCTTAGGAGTATCATCTACTAAGTAAGGGCGGGTATCATACTCCCGCACTCTCTTATTGGAATGTCTTACTACAACACCGGTTACGCGCTCTTCCACTCATAGTGGTATCTACCTGTGACCGGTTTCCCGTTATCCTCTTCACCTTTGCGATCGTACATGTGCGATCCGAAATAGTCCATCTGTGCCTCGTAGAACTGTGTCGGAAGGTCTGTGGAAACACGAGTCTACGCTGAACTCACTAGCAACCATGCAACTCACTGAGACTTCCGGAGTACTTCAGATACTCTAACGTTGAGGAGAGGGTAGGTATCACAAAGTCCGTTGAAATCGCGTGCGACACTACACGCTTGAGCGCCGGCCAGCACTTTTGAAGCTCCGTGGCGATATGCGGCTCAGTGAGTAGGTTCATCGATCTACGATCTTTGGCAGAGGCAAAGACAGGCGCCAGGAGGTCCGCGATGTAGTCGGCGCGAATGATGCATCCTGCTCGCCAGATCTGTAGCACGTTGGCGTAGTTGATGTCCCAGCCGTGCTTGCGGTTCGCGCGGTCGATGGCTGATATGCCCTGTGCAAAGCTGGCAAGACTCGCTGTGTATACAGCAAGGCGCAGATCCTCAATTGCAGCCTGCGCATCGTCACTCTTCATAGGTCTCGGCGATGGCGGGAATTGACCACCGAAGGCCTCTCGCACACGAGCGCGCTCGTCACGATCGGCAGAGACTAGCCGTAGGAAGTGAGCAGCTGAGAGTGAAGGTGCAGGTACATGCTGCTCGATGGCCTCTGTATTGGACCAGACTCCGGTCCCTTCTTCTTCGGTCACATCCTGTACGACCTTATCCTCAACCGTGGACAGTACGTGCGTGCCATCACCATCAGTCTTGTGACAGATGTCGGCTGCGATGTCAATCAAGAAAGTACCTGCCTAATATCCGTCAGGCTTTGCGCTCGTAAAATGATTGATAGACGCTTACAAGCTCGCCGGACTCGTTCCAGGTTGCGAAGGCGTGTCCAATCTGGTCGTACGAGAGGCCGAGCCCTGACTCCATGATCTTCCACGCCTCCGCTACAGCGCCCATCATCCCGTGCTCGATACCGTTGTGGATCTGAAGGAGAGGTTAAGCTATAATGGATGACAATATACCAAATGCGTACCATCTTCACGTAGTGGCCTGACCCGCCAAGGCCAGCGGGCGCTACACATGGCTTACCCTGCCTATCTTTCGCCGCGACCTTCTCCAGCAATGGCATAACCAGCCTGAGTGAGTCTGCATCCCCTCCCGGACATAGCGACGGCCCTCTTCGAGCAGCCTGATAACCCCCGGAAACGCCCACCCCGATGTAGCGTACGCCACGTGTGGCCGCACGTCCTTGCCGCCTCTCGGTGTTCTGCCAATGCTCGTTCGCAGCATCCAGAATGATGTCTCCTTGGGACAAATACGGCTCAAGTCCCTCTAGAATCGTGTCGCCCAACGTGCCATGTGGAAGGCTGAGCAGAAATACGCGCGGGCTTCCAAGACTCGCGCACAGCGACGCGTCGTCTGTCATGACGTCACGCGTCAGTGGTTGATCGAAAGCATCATCTTTGCGGTCCTTCGTCGACATACTCACCAGTGAACTTGTGTACTCGCTCACCAGACCCATCAGCCTTGGCTTTGGCGACAATCCCATCCATTGCGTCCTCATCGGGGTTTTTGAGAGAGACATTTAGGCCGCTCTCGGCGAAGAGCAGAGCAAGGCCCCCGCCCATGCTCCCGCAACCGATGATTGCGATCTATGTACACTAATCAACGCAGTGTCACGCCTCGTAGGGTCATCCTTACCTTGTCTATGTCCTTCATTGGCGTGAGGTTCAAAGGTGACGGGAGAGATGGTTTCTTGCTTACTGCTCATATACTATACCGCTGCTCCCAGTATTGACGTGCCGCTGACGTCGCAGACTGCGTTAAGGTTGCGTTAAGGTTGTTCCCCAGGAGCCTCTGAGGGAATGAACTTCCTGTCAAGATCGAAGTCATGGTATCTATACATACCCGAGTCAGATTCTCACGAGGCACTATAGCCGTTCATTGGACGACGCGATAGTCTGTTCAAGATTCGCAAGTGAATAATCGTACAGTAACACCCCGAGAGACTGAAAGCAAGAGACATCAAAGAGCAAGCAGATGGAGCACATACTAGTACAACAATAAGAATACGGGATCAATCTTCTACCTCCCTCACACAGTCCACCGTGCGCATACCTATGCTGCCGCAACCTTCTCCTTGAGCTGTTCGACGACACTGGGATCCGCAAGCGTCGAGAGGTCGCCGAGTTGGTCGCCCTCGCCTGCGACAATCTTACGCATGATACGGCGCATGATCTTGCCGGAACGCGTCTTGGGCAGATCGGAGACAAGGTAGATCTTCTTGGGCGCGGCGAAGGGCCCGATGACCTTGCGCACCTGGAGCGTAAGCTCCTTATCAAGACCGGCCTCGTCGGCTGCGTCGAACTTGAACTCGCTAAATGCAAGTCAGAATAAGGAAAGATGATGCGAGTATGGCATACGCACGGCTTGAGCGTAACGAAAGCGTAGACAGCTTGACCCGTAAGCTCGTCGGCGGAACCGATGACAGCCGTTTCCGCGACGCCAGGGTGCATGATAAGCGCCGACTCAATTTCGGCAGTCGAGAGACGATGTCCGGAGACATTGATGACATCTGCAGAAGGATTCTCTCAGTTGGAGTCACTCAAGAGATTGAACGACGTGCAACGTACCATCAACACGACCCTTGATCCAGATGTACCCATGCTCATCGCGAGCAGCGCCATCGCCGGTGTAGAACACTCCGGGGTAGGGCTTCATGTACGTGTCGAGGTAGCGCTGGTGATCCTGGTAGACCGTGCGCGCAATGGATGGCCACGGGTTCTTGAGGACGAGCACACCCTCCACGTTATTGCCGACGAGCTCCTCCCCAGTCTGCGGGTCAAGAATGGCGGGCTCGATGCCGAAGAAGGGTACGGTTGCGGAGCCGGGCTTCGTCTCGATGGCGCCCGGGAATGGCGTAACGACGATACTGCCCGTCTCGGTTTGCCAGAACGTGTCAACGATGGCTGCCTGGAACTTGCCAACGTGCTCGTTGAACCAGTTCCACGCCTCGGGGTTGATGGGTTCTCCTACGGAGCCGAGAACGCGAAGAGAGGAAAGGTCGTGTGGCTCAGTATGATGCGAACCAAGGCGGCGAAGGAGGCGGATAGCGGTGGGCGCGGTGTAGAACTGCGTGAGCTTGTGCTTCTCGACGACTTGCCAGTAACGAGACGGGCTGGGGTATACGGGTGTCGATTCAAAGACTACAGTGCTGACGCCGTTTAGCAACGGGCCGTAGACGATGTAACTGATAAGCGTGTGAATGTTAGCGCCACAAATCAAAGCGCATACAATGACCAACGTACGTGTGACCAGTGATCCAGCCTACATCAGCCATGCACGCGAACTTGTCGTCGGGGTGCACGTCAAAGACGTACTTGACAGTCAAGGCAGCGCCCAGGAGGTAACCACCGGTGGTGTGTACGACTCCCTTTGGCTTTCCAGTTGACCCAGATGTCTAAATGGGCGTCAGTGCGAGCGCTAGAAGTCAAAGCGGCGTTAATCGACTGACATAGAGGATGAAGAGCGGGTCTTCGCTCGACATGATCTCCGGAGGGCAGTAGTTCGGAACCTTTGCGATCTCCTCATGCCACCATAAGTCGCGCCCGGTTGTCCACGGGACTTCGTTTCCAGTACGTTTCAGGACAAGAACATGCTCGACGTCAGGGCACTGTTTGAGTGCGGCGTCGACGATGGCTTTGGTCGCAATCGTCTTGCCCCCGCGGCGACCTTCGTCCGAGGTGAGCAGAACGCGGGACTTGCAGTCGATGACACGATCCCGAAGCGATTCCGCAGAGAAGCCAGCGAAGATAACGCTGTGAATAGCACCGATGCGGGCGCAAGCCAGGAAGGCCGCCACGGCTTGCCAAGTCATCGGAAGGTAGATGGACACGGTGTCGCCCTTCTTGACGCCGAGACCCTTGAGCACATTCGCAACGCTGCAGACTTCACGAAGTAATTCGCCATAGCTGATCTCGCGGCCTTCGTTCGGCTCATCTGCCTCATAGATGATAGCGGTCTGTTACACGCGGAAAGAAGAGCACGTCAGATCGCATGTTCACAGGACATAGACAGGGCCACAACGCTTGAAACACAATTCCTTCGCACGTTATCGGACGAGGCGTGTAGGCCGCTGGTTCGCGTCGGCCGGCGTCTCGCGCATCACCCCAAACATGCCCTCCGCGGACACGTCTCGCCCCAATGGGCGGCCGGCACAACTCTCGAGCGCATCGGCAACGGCAACTCACCTTCTCGGGGTCCTTGAATGCCCAGCGATCGACGCAATTGTACGATGCGTTGAGCCCGCCCTCAGGGAACCACTTGATGTCGCCGTTTATGAACGAGCCAGAGCGTACGGTGTGGAAAGGGCGATCCCAAACCAAAACCTCGCGTGCTTTCTACAGGCGATGATTTGGATCAGCTCGAGATGTTGCGTACAACGACGCGATCTCTTCGCTCACCTTCGCCCACCATTTGTCCGACTCATGCCCGACAGTCTCCTTGTGCGCGCTATGGTATGCGTCAAAGTGTGGTCCAATGTGCGGGATCTTGGGCCCGTTCTTGAGACGGGGCGCGATAGGGTGCGTAGGAACCGCGATGTGCGTGCTGTCAGACATGGCGGTGGAGGTTGGGGATAGGATTCAGGGAGGCGTCGAGCGCTATTCGCTGCGCCGTAATTTATGGTAGTCCCGTTTGGGAGGCCGTGTGACCTTCCCCGCGATCAATCTCACATTGTCACGAGTTCATCTCGGCGCCCTCAAACCAAGCCTGCCCAAAGACACACCTCGCCGTACGTTCGTACACGTACATAGGCAGCTCACGCGAGAGCACGATCCTGCCAAACGATTTCATCTCACGACGAGACCCACTACGACGCCTCCTGTAAAATTGACAGGATAATCACCCCGTGGGGTAATGCCCAATACAATTGACATCTAGGGCTTAGCACGGTCTTAGCTGATACAGGGGCCCTGTGACTGGCTGTAAAGGCGCTCTGCGCACGGAGGGCCGCAGATGCAAAAGGAGACGCAGTGCGGAGACGGCGGAAAGGCGGCCGCGCGCGGAGACCAGCGGAAGCGGGAAGAATCATGCTAACAGACGTAAGTATTCACTAGCACAGGCTGCCGCCGTGGCGTATCTGTCGGCAACACGGTCTGGATATGGCTCAACTGTCGGCACGTCGGCGTACAAAGCTTGTGAATGCGGGGAACGTCGGGCACCAGGCATGATGCATGACCACCCAGATACACAGTCCTGTGTGGCGCGATACAAGGGTGCATTCGGCTTTCATGTGTGGATTGGCGAGTGGGGAGCGGAGTGACGATGGGACAAAGTAAACGATGATGTGCCGCTCGGCCGCTCACTTTATACCTGAGCGCTTCCCCGCACTTCCGGCTTTAACAAGAAGCGGAGAAGCAACAGATGAGCTTCGACAGAAGTTGAGAACAGCGCTGCTTCCCAGAACCTTCGCCTCGTGACTACAACAGTTCCCAGATATCCCCGCTCGCGAAGAAGGTCGTATAAAGATCCAGGACGTCCTTTGCGAAAGACTCTGCAAGCAATCTGAGCGCATACGTGGAACGAACATCCAACCTGTTACTTGCCACAAGTGCAGGCATCCCACATTACGTGCGCTCAGCCAACGCAACAGGAGCTTGAACTTGCTTGTCGTGATCAAGGGGGGACAGTACGCGCAGACAACTTAGGATTGAAAGTACACAATTCCCATCACGCTAGGCGTGACGCAGCCCCCACAGCGAGATCGTCGCATCAAGACCAGTACTCTTTTGGGTGTAGTCTTGAGCGAATGGCGTGTCCTTGGGAGTACGTAGCCAGAGGAAGTCATGATCCACGGAATTTCCAACACACCATAACAAGTGTAGCTGACAGCCACAAGTTGATATGTCTAGCCTGTACAGTAGGCAAGCAGTACAATGTGATGTCAATAGATTTACAAGGGGATAGTAGGTTCGAACCACTTCCAGAACCGTAGTTCTCCGCTTTTTGCTATGCAACTCCATGCACCAAACTGGGCGCAAGCCCAAACACTGATTACATCGCCAACTTCCCATCCTGCGTCGGCCGCATGGATAATGACTCCTTCGTGGTGGACGCAGTGACGGCTACGTAGCTGGTTGTGATGACTGCGAGTCCATCGTAGCTCCGGTGGTGCAGCGGCCGGTCTACCGATTTCAATATCGAACCAACTATAGCTCGCCGTGTTGGGATCTCCAGCCCACCCCTGATCCCTTGAATAGGTGACGAGTTGAAATGCGGCGATATGGGCCAATTCGACGTCCCCAAATGGTGGTGTCGCGAACCAACGTTTCGTGGCAACGTCGCCTGTACTCGCTGTGACACTGACGCCTTGCGGCGCAGCGAATGTGCGAGAAGGGTCCGGCACCATGAGCTCAGCATATCGCACTATCAGAGCTACCAGTTCAGCAGGAAGTGCTGGACGAGTGGGCGATCCGTGCAGAAGAGCGCGCCAGATCAGATGATAATATATAAGGGCATTTTCGGGCGCGTTTTCATGATCGCCATCGCCATCTATCCTCAGCCAGGAGAATATAGAGCTACACATATCTCAGCTACATCCATCGGTACAGCAGCGCATAGAGTGAACAAATATACCTCAAAAGTCCAGACATGATGGTTACTAAATGCCGGGCACAGACGCGCATGTTGACTGCATATGCGATTCGCGTGGGATTCATTTAGTCATCGGGCCGACTCGGAGCAGCCGCGATCCCCAGGGCGTGGCCAACGACGTCGACTCGGTGCGACTGCACCACTGCCATATCCTCCGACTCTTTCAGTCACTCGAAGGGTTGCGCTTCTTCGCGCGAGCTCCGCTCAAGGACTCCCACTCTATCGTCTTATCGTCCTAATACATGAATTCAAACCGCGCGTCGTGAAGGGCAAGAAAGCAGATACCCTGGTCTTCAAGCTTCATTCGCCAACGTAGTGGCGCGACTCAGACGCACTCACTGCCACTGCTTCGGATGTTTGGGCAAGGATCATATAGCAAATGAGAAGTGTCCTACAGAGATCATCGGCTACTCTAGGTCATGGTGATCGTGAATGTATGGCCAGCGACAAAATATCTCCACTCAATTTAAATCAATTAAAACGTTTTCACATAATATGACCCAATTGTATGAACCAAGGAAACATACAGGCTACAGCCTTTGCTGCTGCCGGACGCGTAGAAGTATAGCATAATCAAGCGCACGTGTATCGTGATTGTGGTCCGTGTGGCACGCCTACTGTGTGAGTGCCCACAACCCGACCGATCGCGTCAGACAACGCTCAAACAACGACCACGACCGCTGCGCTACTCTCTCTTCATGACTGTTCATCTACCCCCTCAAGCAGATTTCACCTTCACATTCGGCACCTCGACTGCGAAACGCGTGTTCGCGTTCGCGCCAGCGACAGCGACGTACGTGATTCATGCACATTGATGATTAGATGTAGAGACTCAAGGTATTTCCCCGATTGCAGAGCACCCCCAGAGGATACCTTCTCTCGCCTGTTCCCAGATGTTGCTGTCTTGGTCTTCGAAGAGCTCTCGTGTGTAGATCGCCCCAATCCCCAGTCCTTGGGCTGGATGCGAGTGGCTCTAGTTAACCACCTTTGGCGCGCCACTATACTCGGCATGCCGCAGCTTTGGGCTCGCGACTTTCTCTCTCGGGGTTACAAAAGGGGACTTCAACACTATTTAGCGCGCGCACAGGACCTTCCTCTGACGTTGGACCTGCAGTTACCCCGAGAGGTGCCGGATTTGCGTCGCATGCGGGAGCTTCTTCGACGTACTAGAGTTCTTTCGCGTTCCGGTGGCGACAAGGCTATCCAGCAATTGTTAGAGGAGCTACGCAGATCGTCACTGCCATTGCTGGAAGAAGTTTCTTTGTCTTGTCGCGAACAGGTCAGAGAACGGTTCTATCTGAAGGAGAGTCTCTGCATACATCCCAACCTTCGTACTATCTCTGCGCACGGCTGCTGTTTGCCTATCCCTAACATCATAACTTCACTCTCAGTGAGCCTCCGTGGGTCGGAAAACCTATCGGATGCCACAAACCTGGGAAAGCTGTTGCAAACGCTCGCGAGCACACCTAAGCTACAAACGTTGACCATCCATTTTCAAGAGTTCATCCGCGGTATTTCTCCGACACCGACCAATGTCCCGGGAGGCACGATACGTCTCCCAGCGCTCACGGAATTGGTCTTCAACGATCCGAGCATCCATACAGGAGAGATTGTGATGACTGTCCTCAGGCGTCTTGATATGCCGTCCCTCAAGAGAGTGGACGTAAAACAGGCGTACAAGTACAAGCTCATGAATGGCGGTCCAGCGTTACGCCATCACGACGCGGCGCGCGAGCTTCAGGATCTGCTCTCGTACTTCGCGCCGGCACCATGCGCCCGCGATATCACATATCTTGCGCTTGAGAGCTGCGCTCTCTTCAAGTCCGACGGTAAAGTCGTCCGGGACGATGCCCATACCATGGCTATTCATATGGGGACCGACCCTCCGACACGTCCATCACCTTCACTCGTATGGCCAGCAGGTTCAAGGAGCCTATCGCTCAGTATCTGCTACAAGCGCAATCCTCGGCACTTCCCTCTCACAATCGCGCATGCTCTCGAGGCGATAAAATTCCCATTCCACCTGATCAAGGTGCTCGACATCGACCTATCTCCCTTCTTGGGGTTATCCCTGAACGTTGAGCGCCTGTTATTCCAATGCGCCGATGTCGAGAAGCTCATCATCGGACGCCAAAACGACCACGAGAGCGCGCATGCAATCTTGCAGGCATTAACTCCGTCCATCCCTGGCGACGCAAATCCGTTCCGCGAACTACCGTTCCAATCTGAGTTGCCAGTCCTTCTCCCGCGCTTGCGCACAGTCGAGCTCCCAAGCGGAAACGTCGATCGCATACACTTCGTCGAGCTCCTGACCGCACGCTACGTCCGCAAAGCACCACTTGGTCACTTCATCATCCCCGGCGAGGAGCTCGAGGCACGCATCTCGATGACCTTGCGAGGGTTGTCTGGAATCCGTGGGAGAGTCGTAGGGCGATTGTGTGGCTTCGCTGGGAGCGTTGGCGCGACAGTGACCGTCAAGGATACGTCGCCAGAAGGCAAACCCGGGACATGCCCATCGGAGATCCTGTTCAATTACAGTCCATCAGCCTGGACACTGTCGTTGAATAGCCTGACTGTGTAGTAGAGACTCAAGTGACTTCACCCTTGTATTCGCACAGGATCGTCCCACACTTTGACCCTCAGGAAGGCTTGAGGCTAGGAGATGTAAACCACAGGTTTGCAGTGAATCAAGGCAAACACTTCATTAGATTCGTAAGGTCGTGAGATCGTCAGTTCGTAAATGACAGGATGATAAGGATACCGAGAAAGATGATTATCTCAGAAGAGGATGCACTGGGTACCCTGAGGTTGGAGGATGGTGACGGTAAGCAGCGTGACTATTCCATCTTGTGCGATACCTACGAGTGGAGATCAGTCTTGATTCAGCATGGTATTATTCACCGTCTACACATACCGTGGTTCACGCCCGTTGCTCCTGCTGGTAATAAGCCGGTGACGTTCTGTGCGGTTGTCTGATACGTGACGCCGTTGTAGGACGTCAAGCCGACTGCAGCAGCGACGAGTGCATTGCGACCGATGTTGTAGCCGTCGGGCACAATGGTATGGTTCTCAAGAACGTCCTAAGAAGTTCTTCATGAGCGAAGTCCGGAAGCGCTGAGAATGAGGAGCTCTACGAACCTCCTCCTGCGAAACGGCGAGGAACATCGCATTACTGTTTGCGTTTGGCCCATTCTGCTGGAACACGCTATTCGCTGCGTCAACCCCAGTGTGTCACCAAGAAGCGACAGATGCGATGTACCGGAAATGGTTGCCACCCGTGATGCTCTCCTCGCATGTCCCGAGGATAGGATCGTGGAAGTCCTCACGCAACTCGATCGTCTGATTCACTTGACCGTTACCGTCTCCCAAATCCGCACTTTGCGGCCCGCCGAGGTGAAGTCCGAGACACTCTGTTGAACTATGCTCATCTGTCAAGGAAAGTACCGAATCGAGCTCGTCGATGAACTCACAAGCCGATGGCTCTCGCGAAATTCTCAATGCCAGCCAGTGTCAAGACGTCGGGTGAACTCAGTCCGGAGATGATGACCTGCCGACGTCATGAGATAAGATTAGTGATCCGATTTGATAGAAGGTGCACGTACATTCATGGGTTCGCCAACACCTGTTCCTGCAACATCCAGCATGGACCCTCCGCCATCCGCGGGATTGAAGTACGCAGTGGCGCGCTTGATGGGCGATGCGAACGCAAGAACGGCGTGGAACAGGAAGATGAGCGTGACGAGAACCATGGCAGCAGAGTCAAAGGAAGGTGGGCAGGCGCGAAGCGGGATATCAGTAGGGAAGCTGTCGGCTTATATATGTCGCTCAGAATAACAACGGATGGGTGCGGCGGACGTGCCATTCCCCGTTCGGTTCTGCTGACAGGTGATGGCAGCTTCGCTTCTGTCGCATGAGCTGTATCGGCATAGTCGGGGGAAAGTGGCGAATGTCTTGGTGGGATAGAAGCACCGAGGATCGCACTAGCTTCAGCACGTTCAGATGGTACCAACGTGGCTTCCCTTCGGAAGCCCCGGTAGCACAGAGCGAGGGCAGAGCACCTTATTTGGAGATCGCCGCCTCGCAGGGTCACTATAAGATAGAAATAGCGCGAGTGCTGAAGTGCCCGCCTATCCGTACGAGCCCGCGCGAAGCAACTTCATGAGTGTCAACTTTGAACGTGCGCGCGCCGAAGTTCCTGCTGAACGCTGCGCTTGCAATCTGGTCGTCACGAGCATCAATCAGAGCACATGCCTATGTGAAATAGACCTCTTCTCTCGTTGTCAGGATGCGGAAGTGTTGCATAACTGACCTGATGTGGGTCTTGAGCCGGTATGATGCCGTGGGAACCAGATGATTCCGTTGCCTTACACGTGCATCCTAGTACAACTGCCCAAACCCTGACAGGAGATCATTGTATCGTGACAGTCAGAAGCGTAACGATCCCGTCTTGCGCTATCCCTGCACCGCTGGGTCAGAGTCGGGGTAAAGCAACGGCGAACTTATGCGTACCATGATTCACTCCGGCGGACCCAGGTGTCAACAGACCAGTGATGTTCTGAGCTGTAGTCGAGTACGTCACGCCGCCAAAGGACGTAGTTCCGATGGCAGCAGCAACGAGTGCGTCGCGACCTATGTTATAGCCGTTAGGCACAATCGTATGGCTTTCAGTCACATCCTATAGAGATACGAGCAAGTGAGTATCCGTGCTGTATCCATCGAATGTGGCGTGCTTACCTCTTCCTGCGATACCGCGAGAAACATCGCGTTGCTGTCTGCGGTTGGCCCGTTCTGCTGAAAGACCCTGCATGCGCGTCAGAATGATACCCCGCGAAGGATCATAGTCAGGCTTACCGGAAGTGATTACCGCCGACCAAGCTCTCTCCACAAGTCCCAAATAAAGGATCGCCAAAGTCTTGACGCAGTTCAACGGTCTGGTTGACCTGCCCATGCCCATCGCCTAAGTTCGCGCTCTGTGGACCGCCCAGGTGGATCCCAAAGCACTCCGTGGAACTGAGTGCTTGTCAGTCTTACGGGTTGGTTATACTGTGGGTGACTGAACGTACAAGCCGATGGCCCTCGCGAAGTTCTCGATGCCGCTGAGGGTGAGCACCGCAGGAGAGCTCAACCCGGAAACGATGACCTAGGTGATATTCGTTCAGCTGGTGGAGATATTGTGAAGGAAGAACAGCGTACATTCATGGGCTCGCCGACTCCCACGCCAGCAACATCCAGCATGGATCCGCCACCATCAGCTGGATTGAAAAATGCGGTTGCGCGCTTGACAGGTGTCGCGAGAGCGAGGGTGGCGTGAACGAGGACCGCGAAGAGCATCGTATCAGCGACAGGTGCGGAGAATACACGCGAGACCGAGAGGAAGAGGGGTGGATCTCTGACTTCATATAACGATGGTATATGCTGTATGAGCGCGGCGAACGTGAAGGCGTGCAAGCTTGCGGTGAGGTAATGTGACGTGTACCTTGCTTCTGCAGTGTGAGTTCCATACGCGCAGTCAAGAAAGAGTGACCCAATACAGGCCGAACAGAAGGTTCCAAGGATAGACGGGATCTCAGTATGTTCAAATAACATCAACGTGGCTTCGGCGAGGTCGGATGTGCGAAGAAGGAGCATGGGGATCCTTGTGCGACGCGTCGTCATGGGTGTCTTGAGAAGTAGCGCCGTGAGCGTCTATCATGAACGTGCTTGAGGGGCACTCGCAGGAGATAGGGAATGGATGGCTGGCAGGCACGAGGAGATGTCGACGTAGCCTTCATATTACACGCTGTGGGTTGCTGCACTGATCCCACACTGGGCCCAACACCTGAATCCTCCCAAAAGAACGTACATTAGCAAGCAGATCCCTCGTATCATAGTCAAGATGGTCTAGCGTAGTCCGCGGTCTAGTGTCAAAGTCCGATTATCCCACATTCCCACGTCGTTCACCGGTAAGACGCAGCCTTCCTATCGTCCGCCCACAGCCTCGCATACTCCAGACATAACCTATACACATACGCTACAACGATGTGTCAACTCAAGGGTGATAATAATAAACCAGGAAGCAACGTACCCTCCATATCAACCTGTCTCCCAACCGTATTCTTCCAATGCTTGCCCGCCCTCGCTATCCTCCTCAACCTCCGGTCTCCATCCAACGCCGCTCGTTCCTCCTCCGGAAGCGCCAACGCAGTACTATTGACCTGCTCCAGTGCAGCTTGCGGTGCACCAGAGAAGAACGCATGGATGTTGTAGATCTCCCTGTACGAGCTGCTCAGGGGGATATAATGTAACCAAGGTTGAATCCAGTCGCCGTAGAACTCCCGATGGACGCTCGACTTGATCACCGCGCTATCGCTCGCGAGGTACGCGAAGAACTTGCCGCTGTAACCAGCGCCGTCCAGATCGAGCACGTATTTGTGCGCCCAACGGTCTCGTAACAACACATTATCGGCAAATCGATGGTCCTTCATCTGTTGCTGCAGTCCGCCGGGATAATGCACATGGTCGATAGAGCTGACGAACGCGACGTCCATCGTAGCCTCGTTGAGCGTCGGCGCGTCGATCTTCGTGTACACGAAATGGCTTGACCCTGGCGGATCGGCGAAGACAAGTGTGCGTTTCAATGCCGCATCGTCTGTGGCCATCCGTATCAGCCTATGCCTCTGGTAGCCCGCGCTGAACCCTGCCGGTGAAGACCCTCCACCAGTCGTAGCGCCCCTGAAGAAGATCTTATCGCTCTTCCTCTCCCAAGCCGTCTCGACGCTATCGTGCTGCTTTAACTCCTGGTTGATGTCGTCCCATGCGTACGTGTATCGACGCGTCGTTCCGTGGTAGTAGTGGGACGGGACGCGGATATCACCGAATCCTGGTCCTTTCGCGGGCGAGAGGACAGGGAAGGGTAATGGTACGGTGCGCCAATCGGAGAAGAAATGTCCTTGGTTGATATGTGCCCAGGGGTGGTGACAGAAGTCGAACTTGGCGTCCACACCGCGCGCGAAGCGGAAGTCAGTGTCGAAAGGTGTCGAAGGTTGCGCAAAGTAGGACGATGCGCTCTGTTGTGATGGTGCGCGTACAGAGGCGTATAGCCGCCGTGCAGGCGAATCAGGCGGACAGACCCTCCTAAACGCGTCCCACACAGAGCCCTCGCCCCTCCAATCAGGGATATGCAACGTTCTCTGAATCTCCTGTCCAACACTCGGATCCACCGTCGTGATATTCGGGTACTGTTGTAGTTCCCACGGGATTAACACACGCCCCTCCGCACGGGCGTTTACGACAAAGTCCATGTCCGGTAGATTCTTTTTGAATTTATTGAGCATGCGAAGGAAGCCCTTAGCGCGCATGCCGGCGTCTTCGCCTTCGCCGTTGGAGCCGAGCTTGACGGCGTCCGCCATGCCGCTTCGTATGCGTACAACGTCCACTCCGGGGAGCTCAGCAGCAGCCTATATTTCGCTATAAGTACAATATCACCATTACAACTTTAAGTAGTGGTACCTGAGCAGCCCTGGCCCTGAAGTCCTTCCCACTCATGTCCATAAATGGTGCCAAATCCTCCATGAGCCCGTCAAACTCGTCCACCATCTTCACTCCGTTCTCGTGTACGAACTTCCACCATGCGTCAAACCCCTTGGGCGGCGCACGCCCATACCGCCTCTTGTACTCCGACACCGCAGCTTTCAACGAGCGACTCTGCCTCGAGAGTTTATTGCGGAATTGTTTCTCCGCATCGTCCATCAACAGGACTATTGGATGCTCCTCCAGCGAGCCCAATACGGCCGAGTTGTTACTTGTTGATAGTGCAACATTGGAAGCGGAGGTATTGGCGGGGAAGTTGTCCGGTAATGAAGAGCGAGCGGCGTAGAGGCCAGCCTGGAAGAAAACAAAGGCAAGCAAAGAATAGAAGACGTATATCCGCCGTCGAGAAGGATCGGGAGGCCCGTACGACGACATGGAAGTCGGGAGCAAGTCGACCTGCTGGCGCTAACTCCGCATTGCCGGCCTGGCGGTCTCGATTTCGTGGCACGCTAAATCACTAATAGCGTAGTCTCAGGTACCCGTGTAGCGCATACTTGCGACACAGTGATATCCGTGGTCAACGGGTGGTCGTTGGAGACGTGCATCGTGGCAGCACGTTGACAGGCGCGAACATGTATTTACGTGTACCGCGTCGGTTATAGATAGAAATAAGCGCGCAGTGCGAAGGCTCGAGCCACACGGGCGCAATTCGCTTCATATAGGGTTGTATCACAGCAAAAGCAAATGAGCGGTATAGATACAGCAAGTACAACTTCAATTCCCGAAATACTCCTCCACGAGCGCCCTTTTCTGCAACTCCAATAGAAAGGCCTCCATCTCCTCCTTGCTCGGCATCTTCGGCGGCATCAAATCCTCGGCGCTCAAGAACGGTATGAACGCAGCCGCCGCTCTCGCGTGTGCCGCTGCAACGTCTGCCGGGTCTGTACTGTCCATTGGAACGTCTCCCCCACTCTTCGCCACAGCGTCGCCCGGGTCGGGTATACTTGTAGGCGGCATGGGTTGTGCGGCCTGGTCTTCTGGTAGACCTATCAACTCCCGTATAGCCTCCCATTGAGCGTTCCATCCGTCCTGTTCTGCTTTCCTCTCGAATGCAACGAGTTCTGCATCGGCTTCATCCTCGTCGCCGAAGTATGACGGTCCTTGGTTGGTGAAGCGCTTGTAGAACCTTTCTGTGGCTGTCTCTTCGTCCTCCTCTTTCTTGCGAGATTCGAAGAGCTCCTTGACGCCAGGGAGTTCCTTTGCGCGGCCAAAGTACCTGATAACAATGTCAGGACAGAAATTGGAGAAATCAAGGGGATGGCACGTACTTATATCCCTTCGTCCCTGGTACTTCTCGTCCATCGTCATCAAGCATGGCCACATTTCGCCTATAATTGGCACCACCAAGCGCCACAATCTGGTTCTCCCAGTGCCTCTTTTCCCTCAGGAGTTTGTTGATCTCGTCGTTCAAGTCGCGAACTTCATAGTCGGATAATCCAGCTATAGTGGGCCATTATCAATACCCATCCACTTCAGAGCACAGATAGAACAATGACATACCGTCTTGGATCTTGCTGACCTTCCTACTGATCTCCCTCAAAATCTCTCCTCTCCACCTCTCGCACTCCCTCAGACTCTTACACGCGCTCGCCATCCTCGGCCGCCTATCCGCACGCGTTCCCAATCCTAATTCCGCGGCTTGCGCTTCGCGGAAGCGGTAGAGCATAGACTGCGCCTTTTCTTCATTACGCGCCATTTTGTGTCAGTCGTCGGTGCGTAAAAGGTAAACTTGGCAGAGGAAGGTGAGAGGAGGAGGTAAGGTCGTTCGGCGCGTATGTGAAGCGCTGTGGAGAACACGGTCAGGTGAGTTGACGATAAAGCCGGGAGCGCGTCGAGCCGAACGGCCGGGTCCTCCACGTGTGCTCGGTGATCGCACTCACGAGCCCGGCAAATCCGCCTTCGCAACTTGCTCCGTGCAACCATGACCTCTCGCCACACGACACAGCTTCCCTTCGTCTCTTCCCGCCTACCCCTCACGGATAACATGATCTAAAGCCTGCGTGTTGTATTTAGCCGCGTACTTCTTTGATGGGAATACCAATCGCATGACTATATGGCTGCATGTTCGAACCGGGCCGCGATGGCTCAGTATCGCCGGTTACTAGTCAGGCGGTAGTATTGCGAAGACTTTAAGAGCATCAAGTCGGCACAGGCGCACATGGTCGATTGACATCATGCTGGGACTTGCCCTGCTTGCGTTCAGTGCAACGGCCCTGGCACTCAACAATGGTGTCGGGCGTACGCCTGCGATGGGTTGGAATCCCTATAACGCATATGGGTTTGTGTTCAATACATTACTTCTTCAATATGTGCTGATTGTCGCGTGCAGGTGTAGTACAACTGAGGCCGAATACCACACCAACGCTCAACTCATGAAGTCTCTCGGTCTCGTGGACCTTGGATACACCTACTTCGGACTCGACACCGGCTGGCAAGGTACCAAACGTGCTTCAAACGGCTCGATCACATGGAGTACAACTACTCTGCCGAGTGGCGTGCCATCGCTCGCAGGGTATGTGCATGGACTGGGGATGAAGTTCGGGGTGTACTCCGATTCGTGAGTTCCTCTAGGGACTTTACTCGCGTAGCTAGCGTTGACGTTGTAAAGGGGCTACTTTGCATGCGATTGCAATAACGGAAACGCGGGATACATCGGGAGTCTTGGGTTCGAGACTCAGGATGCAAACGCGTTCGCCAGCTGGGGCGCAGACTATCTCAAGTACGACAACTGCTTCGCCGTCAGCAAGACGGACTTTGTCGACTACAATCCTTCCTTCAGCGTACGTGTATTGTATACCGGCTCCCTTCTTGATACTAATCCCCTTCTTGACAGCTCACTACACACTTCGCAACAATGCGCGACGCGCTTGCCTCAACTGGTGTCGACATAGCCTACTCACTCTGTGAGTGGGGTCTGCAAGATCCCGCTCGCTGGCCGGGTACGGTTTACGGGAATAGCTGGCGCATGTCGAACGATATTGCCGACAGCTGGAATGACGTGGTTAGGATCATCAACGAGCTGGTGCCGATCGCTGGACTGGCTGCTCCGGGTGGCTTCAATGATATGGTGTGTCCGAGGTCTTGCTTTGGTCTCTGCATTGCGCTCAAACTGCTAGCAGGATCTGCTTGAAGTCGGGAATAGTGGGATGACTAGCGACGAGCAGACCGCCCACTTCACATTCTGGGCTGCGGCCAAGTACGTCCTTGCCCGCATGTACGCTTGAACCTTACTCATTCTGTGCACTAAAGGTCGCCTCTGTTCATCTCCACGGATCTTTCGTCGATCTCGAGCACCGCGCTTGCACTGCTCAAGAACAAGAACATCATCGCGCTCAATGTATATCGCACCCATTGCCCTATTCTTCCATCGTGATGCTCATGCGTCCATATAGCAAGACTCCCTAGGAAAGTCCATCACCTTCAAGAGGCGCTACACAAGCGTTTCAGATGTTTGGTCAGGACCTTTATCCGACGGTTCTACAGCTGTTGGTCCGTCACTCAGCTTTCTCTTGGTGGCAGAGGGATTCTGACCTCACCATAGTGGTTTTGAACTGGAAGAAAGCTCAGTCCTCATTGACTCTCGATCTTGCTGACGTTGGCTTCTCATCGGCATCCGCTACCAACCTCCTTACCGGCACGAGCCTGGGCACCCTCTCCAACACCTACACCGCCACCGTCTCTGCTCATGGTGTTTTGGCGCTCAAGCTCTCAAACACGAAAGCGGCGTCGGCGCGAACCTTTACATACTACAACGCCGCGTCTTCATCATCGACCCTTACAGGCACTGCAGCTACGCGCGCAGTCAACTCGTCTGTCAGCGTCGTGGGCTTCATAGGACAAAACGCCGGAACGTTGACGATCAATGGCATCGATGGCGGCTCTGGAGGGTCCAAGCTCGTTAGCGTGGACTATATCAATGCGGATTGGACGATGACGAATACTGCGTGCCCGAATTGCCGCGTCGCGTATCTCAGCGTGAACGGCGGGACGCCTGTGGCGGTGGAGATGCCTCTCTCCGGGATGGTGCGTGGTCTTGCAATGCTTGTTACTGAGTGTGGCTGACGCGCGCAGACATGGGATCTGGTGTTTCAGGGATACTTGGTCGAGCTGAGCGGTTTCAAGACTGGGAAGAGTAATACGATTACGATCTCAAATCCGACGAGCGCGTATGCACCAGACATGTACCGAGTTGGTGTACAAGTGTAGCAAGTGTCTCGAACGAATTACATTGAACGATACGTCACGTCCTCCGGACAACATCATTTCACTCCAGTAACCACTGTTGCGGCAATGACCTTCTCGCCATCGGCTTCCATATGATCACCGACTCTCAATAACCCCCTTATCCTTGGCGTATAACTATCGCACCGCAGATGTCAGTTCAAGACGGGACATGCATTCTATCGGTCTAGCTCGCCTCGCTTGCTATCTGATCCTCGACAGCACTCGCCGGTTTGAACCACTTGAAGAACCGGAGTTTCCCCGTCTTCCCTGTGTTGCTCCAGGCCGGATACTGGGCGCACACCCAGACACTGACAATATCGCCTTCTCTCCACTCTTCGACTGGAGCCGGATGAGGAAGTCCCGAGCGCATCGTGGGCCATTGTCCGCGGAGCTCGTTGGTGTGGCTCGTCCAGCGCACGTCACGTTCGAGGTCGCCTTCGGGCCGCTCAAGGCCAACCTCGAACCAACTATAGCTCGCGGTCCCGGGTAGACTCGCCCACCCCTGATCCTTCGCCACAGTTTCTAGCTGGATGGCCGCAATGCGCGCGACGTCTTCGTTCGTCAGGGGTGCGCTCGTGAACCAGCGCTTCTCTGCCTTCCGGCTGTCACGCGAGTAGCAGCTGATGATCGACTCCTCATCGAGAACACGATCCGGAAGCACCCAGTTACAGAAGGCCGTGATAAGCAGTGCGACGTTGGATGGTAGAGGGGAGCGTGCAGGCGACTCTGCACCCATTCGGAGTGCACGCCACACCTGGTGGTAGAGGATCACGTCGTCGTCGGTCGGGGCGGAGAGCATCTCGTTCAAGGCAGACATGGGCGCGTTATGGGGTTCCAGCAGATTGCCTGGGGCCATGAGTGCGTTTTATACCTGGTGCTTGCGCTGCGCAACTCATACACACCAAACCTTTATCCGCTCACAACGGGTCAAAGTGATGAGTCCGTGAGAGACTAGGACAGGGAGGCGTAAGAGTGCTGCTTCTTCGGGAAAGACAGTAGTCATGCAAATACAGACAGGTTGATCGTCGCGCGGAAGGTCAGTACAGGTTACTACTCTATGCTTTTCATGATGCTGACTGAATATGGCCAGCGCTCTAGGTATAGGTGTAGAAAGGAAGATGACAACATGGCGCTATCACCGTTAGGTCTGTCTGGTATCAAGCACTGGATAAGATCTGAAAGAGTCAAGCCGAGGAAGCCGGTCGGCCGCCTTGATACGAATCTACGATCACAACAAAGCTTTCACGGTCTTCGCGGGTTGTGCGACCATGATTTCCTGGAGAGCTACCTCCGCACTTCCCTAAGAGGAATGCATCAGTCATCTTCTACTATGCTTGTATGTGCGAGTGACGCTCATACTGACCTCTGATGCCTCAGAGGGAGGAAAAGCCGGCTCGAAGGATTTATAGAATCTGAGCTCAGCCGTGCTACCCGAAGTCCTCCAGCCGGGATACTGTGCGCACGCCCAGACGCTCACGACGTCGCCGGCCTTCCAATCTTCGATAGGCGCCGGGAGAAGAGGGCCTTCGCACATCGTCGGCTCCTGGCTGCAGAGCCTGTTGCGGTGGCTCTCCCTGCGCCCTTTGAGCACAGACCCCTCCGATGGTGGGCGCTCAAACCCGACCTCAAACCAGCTCCAGCTCCCGGCCGAAGGATCACTCGCCCAGCCCTGATCTCTGCCCACGGTGACGAGTTGGATTGCTGCGATACGCTGAACGTCTTCGTCCGCCAATGGACCACTCGTGAACCAGAGCTTTTCGGCCTTATCGCCTCCATAGGCGTAGCAGTGCACGTCCGTTGACACCGTCTGCACATGATATGGGAGGACCCAGCCGGCGAATGCCGCGATGTGTAGTAAGATCTCGGATGGTACGGGGGGACGGGTTGCAGAGCCTGCCTGAAGTGCGCGCCACACCTGGTGGTACAAGACTACTTCGTCGTCGGTGGGGACGGTGAATTGACTGTCGGAGGTCGTCATTGATGTGCTCTAGGATTCTGGGGGGCCGGAGATGTCGATCAGCGGGAGGAAGAGAGTCGCCTTATAGCCAAACCCTTCCCGCGGCGTAGGCTCCAGCCCGATGTCCGTGAGCGACGGGTCGGGGAGCGTCAGAATAGATCATGATGGGCCATTCTGCGCCCGTAATGCGTGGAAGACAATCAGAGACCCGTACTCTGACCTTCATTACTGTCAACCGTCCTCTCCCGTGTTGACAGCACAATTACTCGATGCATTTGCTGATTGTATTCAGTCGCGACGAGGATCACCCGCTCATTTTGAGCCCGTGAATGACATACTCGTACATGAGGTCGAGTATTCCCTTCGCACGCGGATGCTGAAGCAGCAGGAGGAAGCAAACCACGACGTTCACATAGATACCCATCGATGTGAAACTGCACAAGGAAGTGAGACGCGTTGTCGCGGTGATCTCGGAACCTCGTATCTCGTCCAAAGCTCAAGGCATTACATTCGGTACAACATCACATTTCGACCTCATCAAGTCTTTAACCATCATAGGCACCATCATCTGTTCTTTCGTTTCAGTATCTCAAAGGATGGATGCAGTTTGACGAGGCTTTCGCTCACTGTTGGCCACTTTGACGCAGTGGGATGACCGGCTCGAACCACTTGTAGAATAAGATTGCGCCCTTCTCCGCCTCGTTGCTCCACGCGTAGGACTGCGCATACAGCCATACAGAGACGACGTCCCCGACCCTCCACTCTGTGCTAGGGGCGGGGATGATGG